TTATACTCCTGCATGCTGGTGAAGTAAATGGATCGATTAATAATTTACAGACAAAGTATACTAGTGGTGTTTGTAATTGATTAAAACTAGCGCATTTTCGTTACATGTATGTAAAGGATAGAACGAAAGGCATGAGCGTTCAGGTTATCAAGATTTGATATTCTGCATGGAGCCGCTTTTACGAAGGTCGGATAGTAATATCCACCAAACAGTGTTTTTTTACTATCGCTCTAAAATTGCTCCTGTTTTGCTAAAATTTGAATTAAACCTTCCTACTCTTGAAGTAATTGTGTCTCTCTATTCATTATTGGGTCAATATCTACAGTTCTTTTTCAGACACCTTTTTTATAATGATAAAAAAAATACTATCCGGTGCTAAACAGCTTTCGTAGGTCTTCGTACAACGGCCCCTGATGTGCTATGTGCTCTTTGCACTTGGGCCTGTTTATACAGATGGATTATCGGTCGCAAGGGTTAATCTAGTCCATACATACATAATAAACAAAAGTACGGTTGTTTTGCGTTGGTTCAAATTTATTACCATTCACAAAAAGTTTCCCGCAATCCTGCCTGCACCGTTAGTTTGTTTCTATATTTTTACTGGCGTTGTACGAAAGCGACAGTGGTTATTTTAATCGCTCCAATATTCATACCCGTTTTTTTAGACAACAGGGATCATCCGATTCATTTCTCTGATGGATTGGCTGCAGAAACGAAGTATAATACCACATTCTTTTCATGGTGCCTAATACCGACCGGGCCTGGAGGCTGCAGGAATGCCAAGTAGTGTCGAAAAATTTCTGCTCGAAAGTCATGTAATATTTACTGAAATCTTATCAGACCCGAACGCCTGAATTTGAAATGAGCCAATATAGACATACAAAGGAAGTCTTAGTTTGCACCATGTCGTAATTTCCGTGTAATAAGATATCCTCGATTGGGGTGTATGCAACTCAAACTGAGACTAAACACACAAAGCAACATGTTGTAATATTTCGTCTACAATTTCGGACGGTCAAATTCTGCAGCTTCTGCTGGGTAAATCACAAATTGAAGCGATATGTGAATACGAAACAAAGTGTAGATTCAGACGAGGAAGTTGAAAACAAGGTAATGAAATGAACCGAATTTAAAGTAATATTTTTCAAATCTCAAACGTATGCTCCCCGTCGACCACAACACTGTATGGAATGTACAACTTTACAGCGGCAGACAACATTTCATTCTTTATGATTGAGCCTTGTTTTGAGCGCCAAATGTGACTTTTAATAACAAAATGGGGCAAGATTAGCTATATGCGCCTAAATTCAAATGACTAACATTGTTGATGTTGAAACAAACGCCGTGAGACCTTCATTCCATACTGGACCACAACTATTTTATCAGCTCTTTTGCCGTATATATATTCTGTGAAAGCGATACTCAAATTTATAAAGCTGAATTTGTCTGAGAACGCAATGCGAAATTTTAGGGCTTAATTCTTGGAGTTTTATAATGGTATGGCTTATATATTTTAAAGTCATGTTTATTGATGCAAACCGATATATTAGAGACCTTTAGCTTGACCAAACGCCAAGCCGCTAACAAAGTTTCTGTTTTAACTCCACTATTTGAGTGTGCGGCAATTTCGCTAAATTACAAACGTTCTACAAAAAATTTGTGATGTTTATCACTAATGTAAGGAAGCAATAGGCTATTTCTGATGTATTTAGAAAAGCAGCAAATTCAACTTTGCCGTATATGTTTCACGTTCGCCGTATAAAATTTTATACGTGAACGGCTGAGGGTGTATGCAGTATGTGGTTTGGCATATACTGGTTGCGTTTGCCGTAAACGTCAAGCTAAAGGTCTCTATTGAAAAACATTGCTCGTGTAGGAATCAATTAGAACGTAAATTTTTTTCAAATTATATCTATCATCTCTTCTTGTGTAGAATATGGAATACAATCATAACAACTGGGCATTCAAATATATAATTGTCATGAATGTTGCGTTCCGATGTAAAATGGGGTTATTGTTTCGGAGATACTAAATTTTTGACTTCAAAGACCTCGGATATATAAACCCTGTGGGACGCGTGCTTCGACCTCGTTACATATCATATACCATGATATCCCGTGGCAAGCGGGAAAGGACTGGGACTAGTTGTCGAATAAAAATCCATTTCTTAGTTAAAACAACTTGATATTCTTTGAAATGTATATATGTTATTTACCGGCTGCGAGGTCCGAATGGAAAAATATTTTCTCGAGGTAACAAGGCGGTAAATAACGTATTTATTTTTTTACAAGAAGCGGCGTTCGGTCGTATTATAATTGTGTAGTCAGACTCAGCAGTGGCGACAAAAACATAAAACCTCTTTGCTTTAATTTACTAAAATTCACTTCAATTTATCGTGCATAAAATATAGACCAGACCGTGGTCAGATATCGTAAAATTCCGCCCGCTGCTGCAGCCAGTCAGATTGCAGGAAAGGCTGGGATTCCGCCCGCTGCTGATTGGTAAAAAAACACTTTATTTCGGTTCAAATTTACGTCAAAGTTATAGTACTTTTAACCACAGTTATCTGTGTTTTAACTAAACGTAATCACAAAATTTTGCCTAGTTTTATAAAGAAAATCAAAAGATATAATCGACTGAGTACTGCAAAATGGTTTCAATTTTGACCCTTTTGGGCGCTGATTGGCTAAAATATGAGCGCGAGATAATCTGGTAAATGATATACTACCACCATGATGATGTAACAGAAATAAAAAAAAAATAGTGAAACATCGAAATACAAATAAACCGCAAAACATGCGCCAGGTCTTTTTGCCATTAGACGAAAACAAAGCTGTTCACACACGGTTTATATATATTCTTTTGCGACTTTCTTTGTTAACGCGGGTAGAGAAATCATTGCAACTTTTATGAATTCTTTCAGATGTGATAAAAATATGGCTTCATACGAAAGTGGGTATGACGATGAGCGATTCCAACATCCAGTTGGTCAGAGCTTTCACTGTGGTATTTGCTACAATGTCATCAAAGATCCAGTCATGTGTCGACATAATGAACACTTGTTCTGCAAGTTGCATCACCAGACATCTCATGAACTCTCAGACATGTCCAACATGCATTGAGCCACTTACTGTTGACACCTTGACTCGAGCATCGCGTACCGTAACCAATTTACTGTCGGAATTAAAGATTCGATGTGAATTCTTCAATCGTGGTTGTGAAACATTTGTGGAGTTAGGAGATCTTCAAAGGCATCTTGCGGACTGTGGGTTCGCCCCAGTAGTCTGCTCGAATGAAGGCTGTGGTCAGAAGGTGAATAAGCAAGGTTTATTGCATCACGAGACAGCCGTGTGTAAATTTCGCCGTGTGAAATGTCCAAGCTGCAATGAAATCAGCCAAGAGATGGATGTGATTAAGGGCAATTTGGCTTTTATGAAGCTCATGTTGAATCACTTTGGCAAAGTCCTGAAAAAAAATGAGATGAAATTGAATAGAAACGTTGAGATGCTTCAAAAACAACTCAACAAGCAGGAGGAAAACAATCGTCGGTTAGAAGCGGACAATGTAGAAATGAAGAAAGGTTTAGGGAAACTGGCACAACAATTGGAAAGATTGACCCAGCAGCGAGAAGATCTAAAGAAAAGTTCCGCAGAAGCTGTTGAACCGGACAGAAAGCCGAGGATTATCGTTGCCGGGGGATATAACGGTGGGAGTTTAAATTCTGTGGAAATGTTCAGCTACTCAAATGGAAAGTGGTTACCACTACAACCAATGAAACAGCCCCGTCGTTTGGCACCGTCTGTCGTTTACAACAATCAAATGCTTGTCAGTGGAGGTTTTAGCAATCGTAAGGCAGTAAAGTCGATGGAAAAATTATCGTTGAAATATGTCCATGTAAACGAGTCCATATTTTGGGAAGATGATCCTGCAGAGTTACACAGGCCCTTGTATGGACACTCCAGTGTTATGTATAATGGGCGGTTGATAGTCATTGGAGGTTATGATGGAACTGCATTTACACCTGCTAACATTGCTGAGATATCTCTTGTTCCTCCTTACACCAGTAAAGTGTTGGCTACCCTGCCAGAGAGTAGATGGCAACATGGGGCTATCTTGTTTGGTAACACAATCGCAATTCTTGGCGGAAGAAAAGTTTGGGAAGGTTCGTCGAATCTAGAAAGCGTTTTGTCTTATGATATTGTCAAGAATGAATGTCGTCATTTAGCACCATTGCCTTATCCTATGCATGGAATGGCCACTGTCAAGTGGGGTGATGACGAAGTGATTTTAATCGGAGGCAGCGACTATAGCGGTAAGTTATTGAACAAAGTACTAATATATAACATCAAGACTCAGAAGAGCCATATGTTACCAGACATGAAGTATAAGAGGAGAGGATGTGCTGCCGCAGTCGTTGGTGACACTGTGGTTGTCATGGGGGGACAAGATGAAAGAGGAAACTCTTTAAAGTCTGTCGAAAGTTTCAGGTTCGATTCATGCACCTGGGAAGAACTTCCCGATATGCAAGAAGCAAGATACGGAGCTACAACAGTTGTATGTTAAATATGTCCTGCATATATTTAATATTTTATATCATTTAAATGTATAGTGCCGTATATTGACATTTGATTTCCAAGAACAATTAAACAGTTTATGACATTGATCCAGTTTATAATCGTGCTTGTGAAGTAAATCAATTGTTATACAAATTACATTTCAGAAAAAACAAACTAGTGGTGTGTTTTAATGACTGGACATACTATATTCTCTTTGCATTAATGCCTGTTTGTCTGGATGGATGATCTGTCTCTAGGCTAATATCACTCTCTCGAGTGGATAACGCTTGAAAAAATTAAAAATCGACCATTTCACCTTGCCTGCAAATTTACCTATTTCAGATGTTCAATATTCATAAAGGTGGATTTCCACTTACAGCGAAATCGTTCGCTAGCAAATATTTGCATTTTTCTTTAAATTGAGAACAATCAAGTCGAACTAATTTATTTATGCTGTTAAAATTCAAAAGAAAATATGTAAATATTTCGCTAGCGATATCATCTTGTCTTTTAAATGGCTTATTTCTGTAGCTTTTTTGGTTAAATCAGAATCAGTATTTCAAATATTTGCGATATGGCAATACCAGACAAGTGTCTAGATCCAGTTGAACGAATTTACAGCAAGGTAAAGAACCAATTTCGAAGTAATTCATTTCAGGAAGTTAAATTCCTAATCTACTCACAAACGACTGCCCCTTGTTAACCATCACACTGTACGAAATGTACAATTTTTGGCCAACAACAATATTTTCATTATGGATTGTGAAGTATTTTCAGCGATAAAGACGTAACTATGGAGGACAAGATATGTGTGTTCGTATTCACTGGCATTACGCCCGTTTCAGACGTCGAACTTTTCATGCGCTGAATCGAATGCAAATGAAGTGAAACAAAGACTTTAGTCATTAACATTAGGTTCAACACATGAGAAAGTTCGACGTCTGAAACAGACCTTAGTCGCCTTCAGTCTGGTTTTCATATGACATAATTCGTAATTCGTTGTTAGACGAAAATTAAACGAAATCCGAGATATGAAAACCAAATAGCAACATATTTCAACAAGTTACATGTGAATTACGACGATTAGTTGTATGGAAACCAGTCATTAAAGATCGATTTCTGTTTAACATTACCGCTCTCAATTCAAAAGAATATATGCAAATATTTCGCTAGTGAACATTTCTCTGTAAGTGGAAGTCCACCCTTAGAGTGTGCAACAATTTGGTTAAATCAAAAACGTTCAACATAAACCTCGTGATATTTAAGAAGTTATTTAAGAAAGCAATATTATGGCATTGTTGCTCGTGTATTTAGCGAAGAAGTAAATTCCAGCTTTGCAGTATGTATTTCACATTTGCCGTAAAAAGTTTTAATGTTTGAACGGTAAATTTTTATTGTTTTGTGACCTACTATTTTAAAAGTAGAATCTGGAAGTAATGTCAGACTTTTATAATCTATCTAATTTCTTTCAGATGTAAACAGAAAATGACTTCATACGAAACCGGATATGACGATGAGCGATTCCAACATCCAGTTGGTCAGAGTTTTCACTGTGGCATTTGTTACAATGTCATCAAAGATCCAGTCATGTGTCGACATAATGAACACATGTTTTGTAGAGGTTGCATCACCAGACATCTCATGAACTCTCAGACATGTCCCACATGTATTGAGCCACTTACTGTTGACACCTTGACTCGAGCATCGCGTACCGTAACCAATCTACTGTCGGAATTAAAGATTCGATGTGAATTCTTCAATCGTGGTTGTGAAAGTTTTGTCCAGCTAGGAGAGCTTGAAAGGCATGTTGTGGACTGTGGGTTTGCCCCAGCAGTCTGCTCGAATGAAGGCTGTGGTCAGGAAGTCGATAAGCAAGATTTATTGCATCATGAAACGGTCGTGTGTGAATTTCGCCGTGTGAAATGTCACAGCTGCAATGAACTTAGCCAAGAGATGGATATAGTTAAGAAAAACTTGGCTGTGATGAACCTAAAGTTAAATGAAGTCAGTGAAACCTTGAAACAAAATGACATGAAGTTGGATAGAAATGAGAAACGTGTGCTGGTGAATGTTGAGGTGGTTCAAAAGCAACTTATGGAACAGGAAGAAAGCAATCGTCGGTTGGAAGCGGACAATGTAGAAATAAAGAAGGGTTTAGAGAAAGTGACACAACAATTGGAAAGATTGACACAGCAGCGGAAAGACATGACGAAAAGTTCTTCAGAAGCTGTTGAACCGGACAGAGAGGCGAGGATTATCGTTGCTGGGGGATATAATGGTGAGAGTTTAAATTCTGTGGAAATGTTCAGCTACTCAAATGCAAAGTGGTTACCACTACAACCAATGAAACAGCCCCGTAATTTCGCATCCTCTGTCGTTTACAACAATCAAATGCTTGTCAGTGGAGGTTTTAGCAATGGTAAGGCAGTAAAGTCGACGGAGAAATTAACGTTGAAAGATGTCCATGTAAACCAGTCCATATTTTGGGAAGATGACCCTGCAGTGTTACGCGGGCCCTTGTATGGACACTCCAGTGTTGTGTATAATGGGCGGTTGATAGTCATTGGAGGTTATGATGGAACTGCATTTACACCTGCTAACATTACTGAGATAACTCTTGTTCCTCCTTATACCAGTAAAGTGTTGGCTACCCTGCCAGAGAGTAGATGGCAACATGGGGCTATCTTTGACACCCTTGCTGAAATCGGCGAAGATGACGATTATGATTCCGCCATCGCTGCCCTTGATACGTATTTTTCACCTCAAAAACACGTCGATTTTGAAATCTTTAAGTTTCGTGAAGCCAAACAACAACCCATGAAACCATAGATCAATTTTCAACTCGTCTAAGGAAAATGGCAACAAACTGTGACTTTGCAAACATTGATAAAGAAGTGAAATCGGCCATAATTCAAAACTGTTCATCGAAACGTTTATGACGCTATGCCCTTCTCGATTCAGAGGTTATCTTAGCCAAGATTCTCGCTAAAGGCAGAGCTTTCGAACTTAGTGAATCGCAAGCAGCCGGCATTGAAAACGCACTGGAATCAATACATATTTCTGACGAAGTAGCTGAAGCCGTGCGTCCTCAAGGGACAGCCAACCAAAGTAATCATGATCAACAAACATCGTTTCATCGTCAAGATTTTCGCACTTCATCACAGTGTCGAAATTGTGGGGGGCTCTGGCCCCATAACAACAATGTTTGTCCAGCAAAGGAAAATCTTGTTTGAACTGTGGAAAACCAATCATTTTGCGAAAGTCTGTCGTAGTGCCCGCAAGCCTCGTATAAGTCAACGAGAAAACCAAAACTCTTCAAAAAATACCAAAAAAAAGTCCAAGATTTCTCGCAACCCTCCAGCAATGAAAGCAGCGAGGATGAATTTTTTCACGCTAAAACCATCATGTAGAGACAAAACAACACCTCGGGTCCAAATCTTGGTCAACAACACACCTATTAACATGGTTATCGACACTGGTGCCTCCATCAACATCATCGATGAACTTGCTTTCAACATATTACAGAAACAGAGACCCTTATCCCTACACATTCCAAGACACGTGTTTTTGCCTACGGTCCACCCACCAGTTGCCTGTTATGGGACAATTTCATGCCACCTTGCAATGCGCGACAGGCACAACAACCACACAAGTTCATGTTATCAAAGGAAATTTTGGTTGTTTGCTCAGCTATCAAACGGCATCTGCTTTGGGTCTAATTATGCTAAAGATCAACAATGTAAAATCTGGACGGTCCACCCATGACAATTGTTGAAAGAGTATGCCCATATATTCAATGGAATTGGAACCCTTAAAGATTTTGAAGTTAAATTGCACATGATGATACTGTTCCCCAGTGGCACAGA